TTCATTCTGTATATTCTATTCTATTCTATTTTCTATTCATTCTGTATTCTATTCTATTCTATTTTCTATTCTATTTTCTATTCATTCTGTATATTCTATTCTATTCTATTTTCTATTCATTCTGTATTCTGTTCTATTCTATTTTCTATTCATTCTGTATATTCTATTCTATTTTATTTTCTATTCATTCTGTATTCTATTCTATTCTATTCTATTCTATTCTATTCTATTCTATTCTATTTTCTATTCATTCTGTATTCTATTCTATTCTATTTTCTATTCATTCTGTATATTCTATTCTATTTTCTATTCATTCTGTACATTCTATTCTATTCTATTTTCTATTCATTCTGTATTCTATTCTATTCTATTTTCTATTCATTCTGTATTCTGTTCTGTTCTATTCTATTCTATTCTATTCCATTCCATTCCATTCTATACTATTCCATATTCTATTCTACTCTACTCTACTCTACTCATTTCTATTCTATGTTCTGTTCCATTACTGAATTCTTTTCTATCCTATTCTATTATTCTATTCTCTATTCTATTCTACTCTATTCTATCCCATAGTTCAGCCCTGAGCCAGAAATATTCTCCTTATCAACGTTGCTATTTGCATATTATTTGCAGTGCGGTTTTTTTTCCTGGACTGCTTGGGAAATTCCGTGGTTGATCCCAAGAACTTAATCCATTCTCGGAATCAACCAGGGAATTCCCCAGGCAGGCCAGGAAAAACAAATTACTGCAAATACAAGTAGTCCTTAACCTACAGCAGTTCAGTTAGTGAACGTTTGAACTTAGAACCGTATTGAAAAAAGTGACTTATGACCGTTTTCCACACTTGTGACCGTTGTAGCATCCCCAATGGTCATGTGGTCGAAATTCAGCCGCTTGGCAACTGACTCCTATTTATGACGGTCGCAGTGTCCTGGGGTCTCGTGATCCCCTTTTGCGACCTTCTGACAAGCAAAGTCCATGGGGAAGGCAGATTCACTTAACGACCGTGTGACTAATTTAAGAACTGCACTTAACAAATGTGGCGAGAAAAGTCATAAAATGAAGCCAAACTCACTTCACAAATTTCTCACGTAGCCCATACATTTTGGGCTCCATTATGGTCATACATTGAGGACTACCTATAGAATAAATATAGGTACATAAATAGGAGGACTACCTATAAAATAAATAAATATTCTACAGTATAAACCTATACCATAAAGTTGTTGATCCTTCAGCGAGCCACAGAAATCTCTAGGGTACAGATAGTCCTCGACTTATACCCTGTTTCCCTGAAAATACGACCTACCCTGAAAGTAAGTCCTAGCTTGATTTTTTCCACATGCGCCCAATATAAACCCTACCCCTAAAATAAGCCCTAATTAAGATCCTACCCACTCCAGAGTGGAAGAGTAAAAATTAAGTTAGGGTGGGGATGGAGAGTTTATCTGCCCTACTACTTACCTTTGGACAGGTGTAATCAGGCCTCGCACACCACGACACCTGCCTCACCGGCCCATTTCTTCTGCAGCCGGCAAGGCTGGCCAGGCTTTCCTGAAGGCCTCTGGAGCTGATAACAAAGCTCTGGATCGATCTAGAGCTCTCTTATCGGCTGCAGAGGCCTTCAGGAAAGCTTTGCTGGCTGCAGAAATAGTAGTTTCTGAAGGCCTCTGACAGCGAAAAGGAGGCCAGGGGCGATGCACGCAAGTGAGGTTAGTCAGTGGATGACTTCCCCCTAAAATAAGACCTGGCGCCTTTTTTGGTGGCAAAAAAAAATTGCATTTTTGTGTGTGATGACTTCTAGCCCTCTTTGCTGCCATTCAGCTAGGATCTAATCCTGATTAACCCACGGCTATATATATTTGTTTTTTTTCCCCCAGGATCACCACGATATGCTGTTAGAAATAGAACGGGACAAAGCCATTACCGATAAAGTAATCCTTATTCAGAAAGTAGTTCGCGGATTTAAAGACAGGTACCTGGGGAAGAGGGCTAATATTTCTTGGTGTGAAAGGTAACCTGGGAATTATTATGTGTTTTTTTTTCAGTATATGTTTTATTTTTATTCATAAACATTTTTGCACAATATTGGAAACATGAGAATACCCCATCAGTAATTCGGAAAATACTAGACTGTGCAGAGATGGATAGATTGACGTTAAAAATAAAGGACAAAGAAGACACAGAATATTACTTAACAGGGAACAGATTTTACGAGTGGTTAGAGAAAAGAGGTAGAAATTAGGCGAAGAAAGAGTACTGTTATGTATGAATTAAATACAAAGAGGGTTGATCATTATAAACATGTCAATATAATTAACAGAATTATAAATAAGCTAATACAAGTTAAAATTATTTTGTTACACTATTATTATTGTTATTATTAGTATATATGTTGTTACTTCTGTTTGTTTTTCTTCTGCTTTTTCGTAAATGATATGCCCTGACAATATACTGTATTAAAAAAAAAAAGGAATTATCGATTGTGACCGCGGTGGGAAAGGTTTTGCATTCCCAAGGAAATCTTGCAAGATTTTCCTTTTTTCTATGTGTCATGGATAAAGTTAAACATAGCAGAAAACCAGAGTTGGAAGGGACATTTAGTCCAGCCCTGCCACCCAAGCAGGAGACCCTACACCATTTCTGACAGATGGCAGTCCAGCCTCTTCTTGAAAGTCTCGAGTGATGATGCTTCCACAACTTCCGAGGGCAACTTCTGTTCCATGGTTGGATTGTTCTCACATGAATTTAGAAATTGGAAGAGCTACTGATCTTGCAATTTTATTCAGGCTCCTCTGTAGATTTCGAGGTTTTAAAGAAGAGATTGGACAGCCACTTTTTCTGGAATGATCTAAGGTCTCCTGGTTGAGCAGGGGGTTGGACTAGAAGATCTCTGAGGTTCCTTCAAACTCGGTTATTCTGTTATTCAGATAACATTTGGAAAGAACCTGGTCAGGAACTTCCCGATCTCACTGCAGGAAAGGGGAAAGAAGCCAAGCAGAATCAGACTTGCAGGATTTCTGTTGTTATAACCAATCTCGGGACTACAGGTAGCCCTCAACTTACAACAGTTCATTTAGTGACGCTCGAAGTTACAACGGCACTGAGTAAAGTGTCTTACGACCGTTTTGTACGCTGATAAGGCCATTGCAGCATTTCTGTGGTCACTTGGTCAAAATTCGCACACTTGATTCAACTGACTCGTGTTTACGACGGTCACAGTGTCCCAAGGAGGTCACGCGATCCCCTTTTGCTACCCTCCAACAAGCCAAGTCAGTGGGGAAGCCAGATTCACTTAACAATGGCAAGGGATTCACTTAACAACCATGGCAAGTATGGTCATAAAACAGGACAAATGCAGGGGTGGGATTCTACCGGTTCAGACCAGTTCTATAGAACCGGTTGTTATGATTCTGAGCGGTTCAGAGAACCAGCAAATCGTGGCCCTGGCTGGCCCCGCCCCTCCCTGCCCAATCAGTCCTTATTGCGCATGCGGGACATCGCACACATGCCCGACATCGCTGACTCCATTCTTCCCCACCCAGTCACTCCTTCACCTATTTCTTTTTTCCCCCTCCCGACGATCAGCTGTTCTTATGATCAGCTGTGTGGGATTCCTCTCGCTTACTTACTGCTTCACCCGGGAGGCTCCCTTGAGGCCCAGGAAGGCCCCAAAATAGGTGGGGGGGGGGCTGCCAAAAAAGAGAGAAGAAGCCACGCCCACCCAGTCACATGGCCACGCCCACCTAGCCACGCCCACCTAGCCGCACCCACAGAATCGGTTGTCTACCCAGCCGCTCCTTAAGGTTTCTTTTTTCTTCTCCCAATGATCAGCTGTTCCGATGATCGGCTGTCGGGGATTCCTCTTGCTTATTTGCTTACAGGAGGCTCCCATGAGGCCCAGGAAGGCCCAAAGTCGCGTGGGGGGCTACCAAAAAAGAGAGAAGAAGCCACACCCACCCAGTCACATGGCCACGCCCACCTGGCCACACCCACAGAATCGGTTGTCCACCCAGTCACTCCTTAAGGTTGTTTTTTTTTCCCTCCTCCCAACGATCAGCTGTTCCGATGATCAGCTGCGCCGGGATTCCCCTCCCTCTATCGGGCCTCTATTGTGGTCACAAGTCAAGGATTACCTGTAATCCGTGGCGGGATTCCAATTTTTTTTACTACCAGTTCCGTGGGCTTGGCTTGGTGGTCGTGGCAAGGGAAGGATCCCGTAAAATCTCCAGTCAGAGGTGGGATTTGCTGGTTCTCCAAACTACTCAAAATTTCCGCTATCGGTTCTCCAGAACGGGTCAGAACCTGCTGAATCCCCACCTCTGCCTGTAAGGTACTTGCTTGAGGCAAAGAGGGACAGCAATGGGAGGCGGGGGGTGGTGTATTATAATTTTGGGGGTTCCCAAATTTGGCAACTTTGCTGTGCTGGCTAGGAAATTCTGGGAATCGAAGTCCACAAGTCTTAAAAAGTGGCCAGGTTTGGAGAGCTCTGCTCTAAAGCCTGTTTGGAGAGGATTTGGGAGTCTGGAAAGGAAGTCAACTTTGTCCTAGTTGACGTTCCCGATAAGAGACTCTTCCTGAATTCAGCAAAACAAGACTCTGCTAAGAAAAGGAAAAAAACAAACAAACCCAGTTTTGTGGAAAGTGGCTGGACAACGCTTTACCGCCGACGGGACAGCTGCAGTTAGTTCTCAACCTACAGCTGTTCGTCTAGTGACCCAAGTTCCAAACGGCCCTGAAAAAAAGCGACTCCTGACCATTTTTCACTCTTACGACCGTTTGCAGCTTCCCCGTGGTCACGGGATCGAAAGGGGGACGCTTGTCAACTGACTCAAATCCAGGGGTGGGATTCAAAAATCCCAACCACCGGTTTCCTGCCCGGTTGCTGGCTGGGCCTGGCCTTCCCGAACTTCCGGGAGGGCTGTTTTTCACCTTCTCCAAAATCCCGAGGCTTCCCTCGGGCCTCCGGGAGGGTGAAAATGGCCTCCCCCAGGCTCTGGAGGCCATCCGGAAACAGGAAACAAGCCCGTTTCTGGACTCCTGGAACTTCCATCCATTTTTTTGTCCTCCCAGAGCCCCTGCACAGACCTGCATCCAAAAAGGTGCGCGTGGAGAATCCTGCACGGGAAGGGGCAGGGTTGGCGGGGCCAGCTGGTCAGTTCAACTACCGTTGTGGTTCGCCGGCAGCAGGTGGGGACGGCTGGGGTCCCGGAGAGCGAGGACTCTGGTGAGGGGCCTGCATGTGAGGCAGGGATGGGGCCAGGACCATCAGGGAGTGGAGTGCTGCCTTCGGAGATTGTGGAGGCTGTCAGCAATGAGGAGGAGGTTCCCGAGGAGCCTGTGCCAAGTGCGCGTGCGCGCAGGACTGCTCAAAGGAAAGAACAGCTGTAGCAGCACGGACAACTCAGCATTAAGGCTGCAAGTTGATGGCCCCTCCCTTAAGGGATAAAAGCCAGCCTGAGAGACCAGGATTCTTTGCAGGAAGCAAAGGAGTTTCTGCCCTCAAGCCTTGTGGACGTTCAGACTCTCTTAGTTTGTGTCTGGAGACCCTTTGTGTTTGGAATATTTCTTGGCAACTTTATCTAGTGTTCTTGGCAGCCTTGCACCACCTTGGCAAGGCTTGTCCTTATCAGAGACAATTAGTTTGAAACAGCCTTTTAACCGGGAAGGAATGGAATTTGTAAAGAACCATTAAAAGGTTTTGCTGTTACCTCCGTTTTGGGTTTGCGTCCTCGAAACAAGGTTTGGGACAGAACAACTACCGGTTCGGCGAACCAGATGTAAATTTAACATCCGGTTCACTCGAACTGGCCCGAATAGGCTGAATCCCACCCCTGCTCATATATATGATGGTTACCGTATCCTGGGGTCACGTGATCCCCTTTTGCGACTCTCTGATCATGGAGAAGCCAGGTTCACTTTTACCACCAGGTTACTGATGTAACATCTGCGGCGATCCACTTAACAACTTTGTTAAGAAAGGTCGTAATACGGGGCAAGATCCCCCTTAACAACTGTCTCGCTTAGTCACAGGAATGTGGGGCTCCCTTGCGGTCGTAAGTCAATGACTCCCTGGTACTCTAAATACCTCACTTGAGGACATGTCAAAATGACCTTTGAAACATTGACATTTTGACTCGCCGAAGACCGTATTTTGCGGGGTAAGAGCTCATGAACAAGAAGCAGCTTTGGCGAATTTTTCTCTGCGATTGCACCGAGAAGCAAAATTCAAAATTTGCAGCGAGCAAAGGAAGGGTGTTTTAAAAGTCGAGGTTTCGCCTGCAACTGTAAAAACTTGAAGCTTTGCATCCTTTTAAGTGTATTGTCTGTGCAACAGGGGTAAAAAGAGAGCAACTTTTGGGATCGTCCAATCGTGGCTAAATTTTTAACCACCTTCTTCTCCATGCTTGTGACTCACAACCAAACAAACTCTGATTCGTGAGTTGAGACTGTTTCTCTGGTGCGAGTGCCTACATTTTTCATCCCCCCCCCCACACTTTAAAAGATAATCTGCTTATTATTGGGGGTTATTTTGTCTTCTCTGAGCTGGGTTGTTTTCCTGCAGACGTTACCTTCCCAGTGTAAGTCACGTCATCCGTTCATCAGGGA